TATATATATATATATATATATATATATATATATATATATATATATATATATATATATATATATATATATATATATATATATATACTTCTTAAAGAGGAGTACAATTATGGAGGCATGGTCTGTGCGAGTGTCTGAAATGACCTGCAATCATTATTTAAAGAAGACGTTGCATTCATAATGATATGAACACAATCGATGAGTGCATGTTTATTCGGGGAAAAACAAAGAGTATGCAAATATAATATTCACAAAATCTGGGTGTTTTTGAATGGTATATGTAACGAAGGATTTGTCACCGGGGTTAAATACCTAACAAATGACCTTATTTCTGTTTATCAAATATTCACCGAGTGAAGATGAAACGAGAATTCATATTTATAAACATACTTAATGAGAGTTAAAAAGGCATAGTAAGTCAATATCACGTGTGATTCATAAGGAATTAAAGTTTAAGAATCAGATATGTTAATTTATATTCATCTTTTTTTTCTAAAAATGAAGACAGGCAGTGTTTGTAATCCCGATCAGCCTTTTTATCTGTTGTTCTTAAGAACACAGATCTAGATGGTCCGTGTTTGTTCTGCTCCTATTTTGTAATGTTTAATGGACTTTTGAGCTCGAATACTGTTCGTTATCTCCACATATTTCATGCAAAAGTATAACCATACGCTGCATACTTTAAAAAAATTGGATATCGGGAGCTTGTGCTCTATGATACTTGAAGAGTTCTGCTCGAATCGCGTGGTTAACATGAATTAATGAAAAAAATCTTCGTTCTGATGTACAAAATTTAAAATTTTGGTAAGGTTTTATGCGAAAATGTGGAATAATAATTTCTGAGACAGGTAGTAGGATTCTAGCAGCACTTTTCATGGTCCAGAGATGTTTTTACATAATTCTTTTTAGAAACAGAAATGAATTATCGCCCGGGGTAGAGTTGAAATTTTCACTTTCATTAAGGCATATTTTTCATTTTACAGACGTCATATTATGACGTAGTGGCTTCCATTAGCCTAAAAGACTTATTGACGTCTGTACAATGGATACTTATTCTAAATGTAAACGTCCTTAGCTTTTCTTATTTTTGAATGATACATTTAAAGAAAATAGTGTTAATTTGCCGAATAATGATCTAGGTGCTGCCTTAACATACCTGCGTTGGTGAACATTTTTACATAAACGATGGAAAAGCTTAAATCAATTCCTTTTTGGCAAATAGTTCAGTTTACTTTGGTCATCAACGTCTAAAGTCAGTCTTTCCTCAATAAAACATCCAAATATGTAACATATATAAAAGACGCTAGATCTGAGGGGTCTTTTGTTTAAAGTTTATTTGGATATACTGAGTCGACATATTAGTGAAATTAACTATTGTTAATTGATAAAATGATGTTGATATATCATCAAAACATCTCAATATTAAGTTGAAGGCCACAGCAAAACTTTTTTCTGTAGAAGTTTTTAAATGAATTCTGCAAAATCTAGCTCCCGGAATAGGCTTTTAGACACAATTAATTAATTAATTGGAATAGCTATTAAAACACCACTTTTGAAGGACAAAGAATAAAACATACCCCTATATATATATATCTCTCTCTATATATATATAAATATTTATATATGAAAATAAAATAAAAAGGCAACATTCCTTGTTAAAACATAATCGCTTTCATTGTTTTTTCAGACGTGGTTACCGTAAACAATTTAAACTTATGACGTTATAACGTAACTGTGATATTTCCTTCGTTTTTTGGATATATATATATATATATATATATATATATATATATATATATATATATATATATATATATATATATATATATATATATATATATATATATATATATATTACCGAAAAACATCATTGATTAAATTAATTTTATTTCTCCATTGCCTTTTAGCTTAAACAGGCTTGTTCAGGTTGCATTGGCTTGATGCAACTATGTAAAATACTGTAGAACAGCAAATTACATTTTATTTATAATATCCCTGCATCTTTTTATGTTCATGAAAATCTAGAAAATTCGTTTTGGTCATATTGTACATAACAGTTAATACTGATTTAGACTTCAGACACATTATACAACGCTATATTAGACACACTACAAGACAATAAAAGTCTAAAGGCACACTTGAACAGAGAGAGATGTTTCATTCTGGGTCTTCAGAAAGAGGGAATTCCTTTCCATGACACACTTTCAGACCTTGAGAAATGCATTGTATCAATTGCAAAAGAAGATAGATGGAAGGAAACAATTCCGACTGACTGGGCCCTTTGCGAAATTATCTTGGGAGAAATCAAAACAAGAAATATTGCAGAGTCATATGATAGGAAATTTACAAGAATAATGGATGTTAAACAATTAGCAGAAAAATGTTTTGGATCTAATGAAGAAAAAAAATCGCAAATTAAAGATATTTTGAAACTTTTTCATGACATGGGGATTATTCTGCACTTCAATGAGGAACATCTTTTTGACAGCGTTATCATCGACATCCAGTGGTTTGTTGATTCCTTCAAAAACATAATCACGGACCGAAATCACGTCAGAGATATTGCTGAGGATCACACCGATTGGCGTGAATTCAACCAAAATGGACATCTCTCTGATAGGCTTTTAAAAAACATTTGGATGAGTAGAAATTTCGGAATCTTTTTTTTTTTTTGATTGGTTCGAGCCTGCATACTCTTTTAATACTGCAGACATACTCTTAGAATACATGCAACGCCTTGGACTTATTGCAGTGGGTAAAAAATCACATTACATACCATGTGTAAACAAACATTCATTCAATTCCGCTTCTGAATTGCTAAGCTATCAGCAGAAAACATCTGTGCTGGTCTACCGATTCGAGTTTTTACCCTATTTCTTTTACTTTCGACTTATTGTTGCTTGTTTAACAAGAACCAGTGGAGAATGGAAAGTTTTGGAGGACAATGGTTTATGCTTGTTTAAAGACATAGCCTGTTTTTCTTACAAACAACACAGTGTTGCGCTTGTAGTAAATAAATACTCCATACAGCTTCAGGTTTTTAAACCTAACAATGATCCCCTCACAAAGGAGGTTACATTAGATGTACGTAGTACTATTGACCAGTTGCTGAATGATCTCACAAAAACTTTTCACAGGAGGATAATGTTCACTGTAGGATACCAATGTTCAAAACAAGAAGTATTTAGTGATTATGATGGGTATTTTGTTGCTGAAATCGAACTAACAGGAAAAGGAAATATAACTTGTCCTAGACATCAAATGAAAAATTACCATACTCTCCGTGAGTCTGATCTTCTTGGTTACTGGAAGCCGGTAAAGTATAACTTAGATAAAACTTTTCTTCTCGTCTAGACAATTTCTTCTTAAAAAATGCAAAATTTATTCAATTTAAATGTTTTTTTTTTAATGATTTGTTATTTGCATATCTTTTTCGATACATTTCAGGATGTTGAAATTGAGAAGCCAGGTTTGTGTTTTTTTAATTGTTTTTTTTTTCCTTTTAATTTTGCTTAGTTTCAAATTGTTTGCTTAAGTCCAAGGTTTCATGGAAATTTGCTATGAATAGTATTTATCTAAATTTAGCATGGAATGTATAGTCGTTATCAATCCAATTTTATTTCTGTTTCTGTTTAAATAGTTGATAAGAAAATTTGGAAAGTCCTCTTAAATACATATATCAACATTTTTCTTATATAAACTGGAAATATATTAGTATGCAAAATTGTTTATGTTTCTGAAACCAATATGTATAAAATTGGGGAAAAAATGTAAATTAGGTAATATGTGACTTCTTCAACACTGACAGAGTCCTGCATCATATATTTTTATTACAGCGTCTTATCCAGTGAAAACAATCATTTTTTAGGCAAAGATATCTGTATCATATGGGATAAGTGTATGACTTAGCAATATTGAAATTTGTCAAATGACATTCTCGATGCTATAGCTTAAATCACATGAATGCCAGATCATGTGATTAGAAATTGAGTTTCATATGACATGTTATTTTGTTTCATACAGTAGTATTTCGCCTATTTCTGTATCAATATATATATGTCATATATTCCTTATTCGATCTTGTGTATAATAGTTTTTGCCCACCTCAAACATGTTTCAACGCCAACTTTCTACTATATTTATCATTATATACTGAAACGCAAAAGAAACTCAACAAGCAGTAATCTACAAATATGATTTTTTATCTAATGATTTACAAAAATGAATACAGTGAGGTAAAACTCGATTTAAAAACATTAGAGATTTGATAAAAATGTTCAATGATTATCTTTTAACTTTAGAAAGTAACACGACTGTTAAAATACCGCCCCACCCCGGCCATTTAATTACAGCGTGCAAGACTGCCATGCACAACAATTGCAGCTTGATTTCTGCGATGCAATAGGTTCATCAATCTCGAGATCTGTGCGAAAGAAATATTCTTTGTCATTTTTAAATGCCTGTTTTTCAGATAATGAGGTCGAATTTTCTCTACCCTAGCGCAGTGTAGTAACTCTTGGACTTCCGGTCCAAGGACTGTCATTCATGCTAATGATACGTAAGAGCCTGTTGAGGCGTGATGTAGTGAATATTTGCATCTGCATCTCTTCGTCACCTTTATTTTGAGATTTTCCCGCTAGAGCAATGGAAATGCGTACCTAAGTCATTTTCAGGCAGCCTTGACATCGCTTACGGAAAAGAAAGGAGGATTTATTTTTCGGAATATTGCTGCATTACTTATGATGAACAGATCCAAAAACCCTTAAAACCCCATATTATTGCCAAATGTTTTGTTAAACATGCAATTTTTGATTTCTGTCAAGCGGACTCAAACTTAACTTCCGCTAAGGTTATGAAAAATCATTCAACCGTTAAATTACCAATATTGACAAAGTTGAAGATGTCCTTACTTTTAGATACAAAATTATATCCTATATATGATATCCCCCAATAGGATGTTGCGTTTCTTTTGCGTTTCGTATATTAAAGTCTATTATACATATTTTGTTAGTTTCTGTTTCCACCGGAGACCAGTTTTCTCGACTTTATGAAGAAGGACTAAAAAAGTTCCATTTCAAGACATTTGAAAAACTTACAATTGTTGGAAGGGAAGCTCTGCAGATTTATTTTGATACGATATTCCCAAAACAAGAGCTCATCAAAATCAGAATGTCTGCAAAACCAGACAGAGTGAAGAAAACATTTCGTCTCAGTGATGATCAGTCTGATCGTTTGTTCCCAGGTAACTAACTTATGTTATACTCACTTGACGCCTCCATAACAATGTAGGATTAATGTTTGTTAGTTTTAACTGATTTATTTCATAAAAGTGAACAGTGATTTCTCGTGTGTGAATAAAGATTAAGTAACCGAGTTACCGCAAAAATGTTTGCAATTCTTCTGATTCTTCCTTGTAAATACTTAATACATTCACCCTTTTAACGAGATTTGAATAAACATTGCCATTTTGTAAAAAAAAATATATCTGGTCATAAACATTTTAGGATTAATCATAAGAGCAAAATTCCTTCATGAGTATTGAGTAATTCGATTATATGAAGTCTTACCCTGATGCAAAAAAGGGAAATCGATCCCTTTAATCACCTTTTTTTCAGTTTAGAGTAAAATTTAAATTTACTCTGTGTACTTACTTTTCAATGCTGTTTTAATCCTCATATTTTTTGTAGCTGACAAATCGGACCCATCATCTTCCTCATTTGATGTGACGATGATGTATCAGATGCTGCGGAATCGCACTCCTAGTCTCCCATCACCCACTAATGGATGGGGAAAGACACCTGGTGTAAACCATATAACCCAGACCGATGACGTGGAAAGAATCCGGATATACAGAAACCAAGTCGTCCATGAAACTGATGCAACAAGAAAATTAGATAAAAATGATCTCGAGAAAAAAGGACGAGATTTGACTCAGGTGACATTTTATTCATTCGCGTCATTCTGAAAAAAAATGTGTATTGCACCAAAAAAAAACTACGCTTGAGAATAAACCGTTGAGGCCAACATCAAAAACAACCAACCAACCAACCAAACAAACAAACAAACAAACAAAACCCCCACACACCCCACCAAAAAAAAAAAAAAATCTAAATTGTACTTATCTTTTACAATTCCATTTCAATCGATTATTTTAAAGGAATAATGAAATTATCAATGTAATCAAACAATGCTTTGAATACAAATAAAAATGAAGGAATATGTTGTAGTACCGGTGCAGTGTCAGATGATCGAACTGTATGTACGTATAACGATTTTGGATATCAATTACGAACGTTTAATTTGAGAACACTTATCGCAGCTGATATTATGAACGGACACTCAAGGTGACCATTTAACAAGTAATTGTTTAAAGCACAAAATATCAAAAAAATATAAAACACATAAACTATGCACGATTTCTTTTGAATTTTATGCATTGTTATGAAATCAACTTATTTGTTTTACTCTTTTGACAAACAAAACAAAACAAGAAGAAAAAAAAAACAAAAAACAAAAACAGAAACAAAAAGAACAACAACAAACAAACAAACAAACAAACAAAAAAAAAAAAAAAAAACCCTCCCCAAAAACAACAACAACAACAACAAAAAACCAAAAGACAAAAAACAAAAACTGTACGGTACACAGAAAGAAATAATTTTCAACGTAACCTACAGATAACAGTGATTTCTGTGAATTTGAATTAAATGAAAATTGTAATTTAGTTTGTGTCGTCATCTTAACATTTCTCTAATCTACAAACTTTGAATTTCATTTTGCAAGAATGAATTTAACTTTGAAGATACAAAGGTTTATTTTTTTTAAAGCTATTTAATTAGGTTCTACCTCATTTCTCTATTTTAATATACGTTGAAATTAGAAATTGGATTATCTGTGTTTTTCCTTTGTTAAAATTGTAAATGAATTTAAAAACTATGTATAATATGCATAAAGCTACTTTGTAGGTAATACTGAGGTTTAGTAATGGAGCTCTACAAAATGAGATCATAAAGGTGATGGAACATACAAAATAAGTAAGTAAACGTGTAACGTTCAATACTATGCACCACGACATTCAACTGACAAAAACTTCGCTGGCTAGCCACCCCCCCCACCCCCCCACCCCCCCCCCCCCCCAAAAAAAAATAGCTCTTTCTTCGATAAAATTACAACACAGTAAAAATAAAATATATACAAAAAATATTTATTAAATTTTTAGCTGTCAAATTATATCGGTGACATTATAAAACTTGGCGAAATGTGTACAATATATAACAACTCTGATCATCGTAATACGACTGTGCAATGTTAATACTACATTAAGGAGGAATGGCACATAATTATTTACTGAGTAATCCAAATGGAAATATGAAATTTTTATTTTCATTTCCTTCAATTTCTTCATTTCATCTCATTTTTTTTTCACAGAATAGTTGACATTTCTTTGTTTCATCTAAAGGTTTCCAAAATATTAATAAATTAAATTTTTATACATCTATTCAAAAATTATTTTTTATTAAAAAGAGAATTTTACGGCTATCTGTATCTTCTGGACATTTTTGTTACATATTTATATTATGAATTTATTAATATCAAATTTTAAACTCTAAAGCATCTTTGCAAATAATTTTCTTTTTACATTTTCTTTGAAAGAATACCAAAAAACAAACAAACAAAAACGAAAACAACAACAAAAAAAAAAAAAAAAGAAAAAAAAAGAAAAAAAAAGAAAAAAAAAAAAACAAACAAACAAACAAACAAACAAACAAAGAAAAACACATTAAATTATTAGTAGTTTATAACAATCTTTCCATGCTGTAACCCTATTTCAAAAAAGATTGCCAGGATTCTGTTTTGCAGTAAATGAATTAATTACGCCACATTTTATATAACTCGATTTTCTGTTTTGAATTTTTCTTATCTATTTTCTTTTCTCCTTTTTTTTTTGGGGGGGGGGGGGGGAGGAGGGGTTCTAGAAGGACAGAGGCTAGTTTAACCGAGTTTTGTAAATGGCTGCTTATCTTCATTAAAAGAAATCTTTGATAAAAATAATCCGTGAAATATGTTTGTCGTTTTGACAGTATTACAACATATGATTTTAACTCAATTTATATTTGATAAATAATTAAGACGTAATCGGTGAAGTTCTTTAACCCACTGTTACGGACAAAATAGAAGTGTAGTAAAGGATATTATTTTTGTAAATATCTGCATCATCGGTCTACTTTTCAAGAATTCAAATCGTTCTCTACATAATTGTAATTATCGATACAAAATAAATTTTAAAGATTATGTCACATTATTTCAAATACACCTAATTGTTTTTGTTTAGATGACTCAGTGTTCAATGTAAAATTCTTATCTTTTTAACATTTTCAGCCCTCAGATAAACTCTTTCTTTTCTAAGATGAAATCAACAAGATTTTGGAGGCCTGGCACTGAGAGTAAAAGGCAATACTATGTTACAGGAAGCCTATAACGAAAAGCATCTGTTGACAAAGGCAACCACATTACCATACTAAACGAACTACGTATAGTTAAATTATGAATTTTAAAGTTTCTCCATCAGAAGTAATGATCATTTCTTTTTAAATTACTTAAGGATTGAAAAGATGATCTTTTAGGCTTCGCAGTAGTTTACAATGTTGCTTGTTATGTTTGTGTGCAATTATTTGATCGTCGATATCCCTCAACATCTGCATTATTTTTATTCTTTATTTATTTCGGAAAGATTTACTCACGCAGAGATACAAACTGTAATTGTTTTGCAATATTCTTTTTATCATTTTCTGGTTTCATATTTTAGAGGTTGTTGATAGAGATTGATACACTTGTGAATACATGTATTTACGTCCGCTGACGTTGTGATATATAATTGAGTTAAAAACAAATAGCTTTGCCGTATAAATTATGAAATTTCCATTTTCACGACGTTTATGTAATGAGGATATAACTAAACAATCAAATTGTGTAGGAGTGTACAGTAGTGTATTACGTGTAAGTGTAAATGCATATTTGCTTTTAACAACTTTTGTGATTATATAGCTTACTGTACTTAAGATGTTTTACAAGTTTACATATTTTAATATGGTATTTGATTAATATTTCTATCATATTTCAAAACAAGATTTTATTCAAGCATGAATAAAAAACGAATTCTCTGTTTTCATTATCTTAGAGTACCTTAATTTTCATGTTGAAATTCCATGACCAAATTGCTCGAAATAATATTTTAATCTGATAAATGAGAAAACTCACAACCCCTAGATTGGCCATGTTATATATCACATTAGTCTTAAAATTAAGCTGGAGCAAAAGTTCTAGAATACCCCCATGTTAATTGTACCTATTTCAGATCAACCTTTCTGACCTTTCCTATGATTGGTTGAAACAATCTGACTTGCCAGAAAGAATAGAGCCATGTGATATGTAACATGGCCAAATCTGGGGGTACATAGCTGCTATCATTAGGAAACGGAAAGATAGTATGTATTTGCCGTTTTCCATTGTTAAATTAAAAACAAGAAATTTGGAGGGAAATATTAATGAACTACACATCTGACAAATCATACAATGTAAATGAAACAATTGAGTCAGAAATCTGACCTCATCTGACTTCATACCTGGCTTATGATTTTCCTATTTACACGGTATGATTTGTAAGATGTGGCGAGTCATATCTGACAAATCATACCGTGTAAATAGGCCTTATGGCCAGCGTTGGTGATCTATTCATTATATTAATGGACACATATTATCAATTATCAAAGACAATAATGCCTTATCCAAGCACAGAGACCAATAGGCCCTTTGCTTGTATTTATATTCAACATAGGCAACGTATGCATTGTTCAGAATTAAAACACATGTAAAAGTATATTGTTTATTGTATGGCGAATTTTTTTCACAGTGGTCAGAATTCGGTATACCGTAATTAAGACTATCACTGTGGAGTCGCCGAACAGCAGGGTTCACTTACCACAACAAAATTTAAGTCATTCAAAGCTGGGTTGACCAAAATCATTCTGCTTACACCTCAACGCATCAGATTGTCTATATGAAACATATAATTTAATCAACATCAAGGTACCCACAATCAACTTGAAGGATACGATATGGCTTCACAAACCTTCGGGTGTCCATTAAATTACCTTCATAACGAGATGTGTATCTATGGATTTCTATTTTGTAGACAACTTATGGCATCTGAAAGTATAAAACTCAAATGGAAGAAACACTGAACAAATCAATATATATATATATATATATATATATATATATATATATATATATATATATATATATATATATATATATATATATATATATATATATATATATATATATATATATATATATATATATATAACTCTGATTTAAGGACTAGGGAAACCAGACCATTATATATGGCTTAAGGAGACAATATACAAATTTTTTAAATTTGCTTTTTTCTAAAAAGAAATACCAGATCAAAGATCTATAGAACACCATTTAGTCGACTCTTGCTTTATTTTTTCATAATAAATGCCTCCTAAAAATATATGAAAAAAATGGTCTCCTTAATATTTTATGTTTCTCTCATATGACTTAAGGAGACCAGTGTATATTTTTTATAAATATAACTTGTGGTTTAAGTAGACCATTTTTCTTTCATAGTAATTTCACTTATTATGCATTAATTAACATATTGTTTCCAACCAGAATAGTTGCGAATGGTCATTAGTCAAGGTCAGCAGAAAGATATTTGTGCTAATGTGACTCAACATGATCAGTACAAAACGTTGAATTAAACTAAAGTCATTGCACAAGTGACTTAAATAGAGAGTAGTTGCCCCAGTGGTTAGAGCGTCTGCTCTAGAGTAGCGAAGTAAGGAGTTGATCCTTACGTCGCAGGTTCAAATCCCACTGTGGGATGGGGAGACCGGTCCTTCAGATGAGACCGTATAAATCGAGGTCCTGTGTCGC